ATATACATTTTTAAACATTTCTCAGACGAGAGACTTCCCACACAAGATGTCATAATATTCTCTGAGATATTTATAATAATTAATATATAAATTTTTGCATTTTTTCCATCATTTACATTTTCTATGTAAAATTAAAATGATTTCATGTATCTAAAGAATTATTCCTTTGATTTTATAGAAATTTCTGGCCCATTCAGATCGCACAAAAAGTGGCGATATCAGTTTGGCTGAATTCATACACTACGTTCGCGAACATGAGAAAAATCTACGATTGCAGTTCTCTCATCTTGATAAAAATAAAGATGGTAAGCATACATTTAATAAATAATAGGTACCTAATCAATTTTAAAAAATTTACAAGTTCAAGATTGAGAAACTTTTCTAAATAAAAAATTTATATTATAATGTAAAATATATAGATATATTTTTTAAAATAAAGACTAGCTAATAATCTACTTGATATATTTATTTGTTTAATACATAGGAAAATTTATGAGAGGCTGTAAACATTTCTTATACATTTTTCGCATTCGCAGGAAAGATAGATTTAGAAGAATTGATAAGAGCTTTCAAGGACCTAGGAATAGAAATTGCACGAAAGGATGCAACAGAGTTATTGCAACGGTAATATTTTATTAATTATAATAAATTATTGTTTTTCAAGTTATTTAAAATGTATTTTAATGTGCATATCATTAATTAAGCATAGCATTAAAAACAAAGTTCTTAATAAAACTGTTGTTTATTACAAAAAGATTTTAAAACATTTAAATAAATGTTGAGAACTCGTTATTAAAGTAATATTTTTAAATTTATCACTCACACGCATCCCAATGCATATATTGATATGAAATGCTGTTATAAGATAATTTTAATCCTACGATTCTTCGATGATATACTACATAATACAATAAACTTTGCGTAGCATGGACCAAGATGGAAGTCTCAATATCAGTTTCAACGAATGGCGGGATTTTCTCCTCTATGCACCGAGTTCTACCTTGTTCGATATTATCGAGTACTGGCATCACACCACGGTGAGTACTTTATACAATTTAATTTTTATATTCAGAAAATATACGTAACATTAGTTAATATCAAGATGCATGTATGTTATTCAAGTGTTGTGTCACCTACATTACCTATTTTATTATTTAAATTACGGAAATATGTGGACAATACCCGAACATCTGGACCGTAATATTCTTATTATCATTTATAACGAGTAACTAATATATAAAACCATGTTACGGACCATTTTCATACCATCTCATTTTGTGCTGTACGTACATATACGTGTATACATACGAGATTTTCAACTTCGATGGACACTGATACTTTACAAAACACTCCTGTAAATATTCGGTTAAATGTTAAATTATTAAAGTCGAATTTTCAATAAGTTTATCTGACGCAATTCTGCGTAATATTTCATCAGCTGTTTCTTATGCCATATCAGTGGTTCCCAACTTTGAGGAACTTCTTCCCAACTTCGTGGTTCCCAACAATGTATAATATATTAATAATAATTAAATAATAATAGAAAAAAGTGAAATCAAATAATTATTATTAATAGAAACAACAGAGCAAATATCAATAAGAATATACAATCATAATATTTATGTAACATAACGTAATATAGGTGTTTAACCAACGTCAGTACATGGCAGCTATATGATTAGTATTGTAATATATATGAAAAATTGAAGTGTGGTAAGCGCAATTGAAACTCGTGCGTAAACTTTGCACTATGTACGTACACGCAACGGGCCGCCGACTTTGATCATCGTCATCACACGGGTATTTGCCTCGATGACGCGCGTGTCTCTGACGTCGAGGAATGAGCAATGACGAGAGGAAAAGAGGGAGAGGGCAGACTACAGCAGACGGAGGCGTTCCCCGTTTTGGAGGGGACGATATCTCCCCGTATCTCAGGGTTTTTCCTCGTTTATCTCTTCAGTCTCGCACCCGGACTCCGAGCGGTCGAATCGTCGGTTCGTGGCTCGTTTTTCCCCTTCTCTTCTTTTACCGTTTAAGACCGTCTTACCTGAGCGGAACGTACAGTTTTCCTCGGCCACGTGGGTCAGTGTCAACTCGTCTTCGGATCGTCCGTCCAAGATCGTTCAGTTACTCGATCGACTGCCGGCGATTTTTAGACCGCCCAATCATTTCGAGCGATACCCACAGGTCGGACCCGCGATCTAAAGATACCGAGAACAACGAGGAGGGGAATTCTCGAGAATTTGCGCAACCCCAATCAGCATGAAACATCCTCGCTTGATAGAAAGTTTGAAAGTCGCGAAAGTACAGATCTCGTAGTGCGAAATAAGACACGAGTGTGCAAGCGTGGCCGATTTCGAAGGAAGCGTGATTTTTGCGATTACTTTTGTAACTCAAACATATAATAAATCGGCGAATATAGTTCAACTGCGATAAAAGAAGAAAGGAAATTGAATTATACAAGAGAAAACGGCGTGGAACGCGGAGATAGAAGATAAACTGAATGATAAAGTGAAGAGTAAAAGAAGAGAAAAGTAATAGAAAAGCGGAAATAGAATATTGGAAGCAAATAGAAGAGGAAAAGACGAGAAGAATAGAAGGACGAATCGGAAGGAAGAGAAGTATTTCGACAGAGGAGGGTATAGAGAGAACAACGGGGAGAAGAGTAGAACATATTAGAAGGGAGAGAAACATCTCGAAAGCGGCAGGCACTTGAAAGCGAGTGATCGACTTTATACGGTGAGCGTGTGCGCGTCGCGACCACATGACTCCCGATTACAGCTGATCGATTGTAGCATGTACGTCCTGAAGAAAGGGGGATTTCTCCAGTATGATAGCACCCTGTCCACGTGTCAAGTACGTGAGGAATTTCTGCAGCGCTACCATGAGTTATTGCAACGGGTGAGTAGAGCGACGGGCCCTTGCCGATCGACCAATCGGCGTCTGAGTTTACCGAGGTATTCCGTTTCGAATGGAAAAAGAAAGTGTCAGGTGTGCGAGACAAGGTCGGCGTTAAAGAGCGAAAGTGATTCTGGAATGCATCTCAAGAATTCGTCTTTTGAGCTCTTACACACACATATATATTTTATTTATATATATGTGCACGAGAATATCAAAGTTGAAAACTCGTATGCATGCTGTTGAATATGATCTGATATATCCATTATCTATTTTTACTTGATTGACGTCTATAGATATCGATAGTAAATTACTTCCCATTTATTTTTATTTTATGTTAACTAATTTTTAGTCACCACCGGTTATTGCAATGACATAACGATAGTAAAAAGACTTTGTTTCCGCTAGAGATACGACTCCAAATTGACTAAAGAATTGGCGGTTCAAAGTACACTCAATGTATGGGATATATTTTACTATGCCGTTCAGCTTCCGACACATCACGTTTTATTTTGAGTGCAGAAAATTTAGCTTCAGAAGGAACAAGCCTAGGATATTATACCTGTCTGTACGTTTGTCTGGCTCGTCGCCCAGTCGAGCTAAGAGGATGATGGGAAAACCTTTTGAGTTCGCAGTTGACTGATAATTATAATCATTCGACGATTTGCGAGTCATTTTGCTTGGAACATTCTACTTCTGTGTTACAATTCCACGTTATTGCACCGAGTATATTGCAATAATGTTCCATCGTCTTGCGAATAGCTGGCCCGATCGTGATTTCGCAAAATTGTTACGTCATTGGTTATGACCGCGAGATTAGCTAACAGGGGTAGACCAAACAAACAAATAAACTTCAAATCTAACAGTTTAAATTGGACTCTATATCGCGAGCAGTTCTATATAATAATGACTTGTAAAAACTACGCGTGTTAAGTACGCTTCATCTGTATGTTCTGTATCTATTTTAACTTAAAAAATAATAAAGGTTTACTTAACTTACGTTAAAATACTTTGTCTATTAGTAGCGTGTAAATTATACAACGATTAAGTAGAAAATTTAAAGGACAAGTTAGACCGATAGAATCCAAGTTTTATTTTCGAAAATATATGTGACGTAACGTTTATGATGTAAAGTTCAAAAGTACACATTGTGGATGCTGTAGAAATCTCGATTTTCATGTTTTTATGTAGTAAATTTTTAAATTTAAAATTGTGATAAAAAAAGAGATTTAAATATTTGTAATGAGCAATGATCTTTTGTCAGATAATAATTTCGCTTATAAAATGTTTAAATAGCATGATTAAATTTTTGCATAAAAATAATTTATTTTGTTGTATAAATACAGTTAATATAATAACGTATTAAAAATATATGTATTGAAACTTATGTAAAAATAAAAGCATATTTTGTCGATAACTAGAAAGAAGATTCTTTTTACGAACATCGGTTCACGAGTTCGATATACCAGGCTTTGAATTACAACACGCGTTTTGTAACAGAATATTTGTAACATAATAGTGCTATTGTACATGGATCCGATTACCTTCGTCGAAATGCAACAGTACAATACTTCATATCTGTGATCGATAAGCGATCCAAATGATACATATATGCATGTAGAAAAGTCGGCACAATAATCTTATCATCTAGTTTATCAATGTTTATATTAAGGGTCAGTCAAAGGCTGCGTTTCGATATTCACTACTAGTATTGAAAATGTATAACATACGTTACGTGCACTGGATTTTCCGCCTTGGCAGTAAACATTGGAATGCAGACATAATCGCTCGTACGAGAATAGATAAGCGAAAATGTTTGTAAAAGTATAAAGTCAATGAGAATTCCCATAAAAGAAAAATAAATAGGATACGGAATAAAAATGGTAGAAATATTTGTAATAAATTTATAAATAGCTATGTTATAAATAGTTATCTTAAATTATTTTCGTGAATATTATTAGAAACATTAAATTAAATATTTTTTGGATTTTATATTAATTATACATTCATATTATTATATTAATAAAAAATATTAATTATAATCAACGTTTTATTATTGAGAGCTGATATTCTGGGGGAACAGCCTGCTTCTTATTAATATTTTATTAATGTACAATATTTTATTAATATTTTCATTAGTATAAACTGATAAATTTACACACACAAACACGTATATAGAATTATTATTTTTTTTTCCATAAAACATGAAACAGAATGTAACGAATGATTCAATTAACAGTTTGATAATAATTTCTTTTTTTTATTTACAGTATATGGATATCGGGGAGGACATCGGCGTCCCCGAAGAGTTCACGAAGGGTGAGATGGTATCTGGAATGTGGTGGCGACATTTATTATCCGGGGGGATAGCAGGTGCGGTATCACGTACTTGCACCGCGCCCTTAGACCGTATCAAGGTCTATCTACAAGTAAGCATTTGCACGACTTTTTTCCAATTTTCTTTCATTCACAAATCTCTAAATTTAATATCAAATTTACTAATATATATGTATACAATATCTATATATTAAACATTCTTTATAGATTATATTTAACTTACAAATATAGTTTGCATATACATACAATATAATCTATATATTATCAAATAATAGAAAGAGGTTACATGTATATTTTTTATTATGTAATCTATGTATATAGATAAAATAATAAAATTTCGTTCGAAAATCTTTATTATTATGCGTTGTATGAAACGATTCGCTTATGATGGCATGTCGAGCGAGCGAGTAAATTTGTCTAGTTTGCTTTAATACGACGAGAGAATCGTCCGATCGTCCTTGCAGGTCCACGGCACACGACACTGCAATATCATGAGTTGCTTCAGGTACATGTTGCGTGAGGGTGGCATTAGGAGCCTGTGGCGCGGCAATGGCATTAACGTGCTCAAGATTGGCCCGGAGACAGCGCTCAAGTTTATGGCATACGAACAAGTGAAGCGGGCGATCAAGGAGGACGATGAGGGCCGCGAACTTGGGCTCTACCAGCGATTTTGTGCTGGCTCCATGGCCGGTGGCATCAGTCAGTCAGCCATCTATCCCCTTGAGGTATGTTCCTGTTTATCTTGTGATTTATGCTTCCTTACGTCGGATGACATTTATGATGTTAGACATGAGATATATGACTTTCTTGTTCTTCGATTCTTATCGTTATATTATTTTAGTGCAGATATGTACATATAATGCGAACACAGAAATGAATAAAGATTGAGTTATATATAATAAGAAATAATGAGAAATATTATTTTTGTATAGAATAAACTACTAGAGATATAAATAGAAGTGTATAACATGCTTGCAGGTACTGAAGACTAGACTTGCATTGCGAAAAACGGGCGAATTTAATGGCGTGGTTGACGCAGCCACGAAAATATATAGACAAGGTGGTTTGAAATCCTTCTACAGAGGCTATGTACCTAATTTGATAGGAATACTTCCTTATGCCGGCATCGATTTAGCCGTCTACGAAGTAAGTCGTTACCAAAGAAAAGCTTTATTTTTTATTTTATAAACTATTACAATAACACGATATTTATGTGAAATTAAATTTATGCAAATCAATTTAATGTGTAATTTGCGTAGTAAGTCAAGATAAAATTTCCAACTTTCCTCGGCGATTGCTCTCGACGATCATTTAAAAGGACGATATGTTTGCAGACGCTGAAGAATAGTTACTTACGTACGCATGACAAAAAGGAACAACCGCCATTTTGGATTCTATTGCTGTGTGGCACCGCGTCCAGCACAGCCGGCCAAGTATGCTCGTATCCGCTAGCGTTAGTGCGGACGCGACTGCAGGCCGAGATTGCGCCCGAACGCTTGCCTAACACAATGATTGGCGTCTTCAAAGACATTCTCAACCGCGAGGGAGTACGCGGTCTGTATCGCGGCCTCACGCCTAATTTTCTCAAGGTATATGATCGTTAATAAGAAAATTTCATTGATTTTTAAGGAATTTTTATATTTCTCTACAATTGAATTTATAGAAATTTAACTTATTACAGCTTAACTGATATTAATTTTATATTAAAGTCGTCATAAATTGAAATTTTTTTTTAGTTTTTAATGAATTTGTAGTATAGTTTGATTATTACTAAATGTAAAAATATATTTCTTTTACAGGTTGCACCTGCCGTATCTATTAGTTACGTAGTATATGAGCATTTCCGGCAGGCGTTGGGCGTCAACATGACGTGATGAACATGAATGCTAGGTGACTGATTAATTCAATTAACTAACTTATTCTCTCTCTTTTTCCTCTCTTTCTCTACCCCTCTCTCTCTCTCTCTCTCTTTTCACTCGTCGTTATAAATAATCGACATGACGAATGATCATTTGGCGATAAGTCGCGTTCGTTTGTCTTTTCTCAAAAAGAAAAAAGAATAAAGAAGAAACAAAATGGCGGTGATTACTTTTATTGTTATCGCTAACGTAAGAAACTTCTTTGATTAATCGAACATTCTATCGCAATTTTTTTATAATTTATTAAGATTTTAATATATTTTTAATATTTCAATATTAATAAATTAAAAATAGTGCGAATCAAAATATTATAATTATCGATTTTCTAGCAATTGCTGTTGTATAGATTGTTGTTACAATGCAATGATACTTTATTTTGGCCAATACAGTACAAAGAATGTCTTGCGTGTAAGAAAAGTATTATGTGTAGTCTTTCTGTAAACGAATACGCGAGCAAGTTTTGAATGGACAGCCATCAAAGGAAAGGCCAGTTCTCAATTATTCTTTAGTAAAAACGTATTTTATTGGCGGAAACGTTCAAGTCAGCATCAACATTCAGTCTAAAATTTGTATATTATATAAATCACTATTATAATTGTTTACTTTCTAACTATAATTTATTCCTATATTTAAAAATTTTAATTTTTTATTATAATTTAAAAACATAAAATAATAATCACATAATATTTATGTGATTATTAAGTAATTAAAAAAACAATTTATTTACTAAAATTATTTCAGAAATATAAAGTTATGGATTCAGCTTCTGACTTACGTGCCAGCAAAAATACGTTTTGTTACTATATGTAAAAGTGATTTAATGTCGACCTAAAGGATTCCGTTTTAATTGGAAGGATGGAGGATCGAGTTATACATTGACACTGTGATATGTATATGACTGTAAACTTTTCCGCATGATTTATCAACATGGCGCCTTGTAAATTACAGGATTATCGCTCTACCAAATTATGCCAAGTAACTTGATCCATTGAAACACGAAGCATTTTGTACAAAATAAACCATTTTTGTGTAATTTTGTTACAGAAAACATTTTTCGTGGACTTCTTTAGGATTTAAAGATGTAGTTTCATATTTTTTAATTATAGATTCACATAATGGAAAGAAATTGTAATAAAAAAATAATGAAAACTCAACTAAAAAACATTTTTTTTTTCCAATATTTATCGTATCTTGTATGATATATTTATTATATCTTATATGATACATTATTTTTAAATGATGTTATCCTTATATAAAATACAAAATCTTGATAAGCTAAAAATAAAATTAACATTCTGTTTTATGTTCTTTCATAAATTTTGTAATATTTTATAATATTTATAATATAATTTTTTTGTAATAATATAAAAAATTAATTTTGTACTTTTATGCTATTTATATTATTTGTTAAATTGTAATATATATTTTTTGTAAATAGGAGAAAAATAAAAATAAGATATTCTGACAAGAATTTTAAACACACATGGACGTACATGTATAATAGCATTCAGTATGAAATTCTTGTTCAGAACTAGTTATAGTTACTATAGTTTTTTAGATCTATTTAATACTTATTTTCTCCTATGTATAAAGAAATATGTTTCAATGTTCATTATATTATTTCCTAGACTTTTATTAAAAAGTTAAAAAAAAAGTAGTGACTCAGTGGATCAAGCTTTTCACAATAATTTGGCGATAATAATTACTATATTGTTGTAAATCATGCGGCACTCGGTTTTCATCTCAACCTTGTTAGTACTTCGTATATACAATAAAATCAATTTCACCGGCCGTTACGATATATTATTATATTCCGGTTACTACGATTCATTCCCCTAGATAAGTTTTACGAACTTACAAACTATGTATATTATGTATTTACATGTATTATAAAACATGTACAGTTAGACACACATGTTGTTTATCGACGAATATTCGGAGAATAGCGATGACTCGTGCACGATAAATACACGGATTTTGCCTTTAAGGACAACGCGATAACGCTAACAATAAATTGTGGACAAGAAAAATTTAAATTTTATTTAAATGCCATTTTAATTTGACCTTATCCAACTCGAATTAATAGACATAAAAGAATTAAAGATATAATGTAAAAACATTTCGGCTATGTTAATTTTCTTTAAAATTGCTACTGCAAGTTAATTTTCCCAATAAGCTAAATCTTCCGTTAAAGAAAATTATCAATATGGATTTTATTATTATTTTGAAAGATGATTGAAATATTTATCGTGGATGAGTTATTGGATTGGACATGATTGACATTTTTTTTAATAGCAAAAGTGTAAATGTTTATTTATATCTGTGTACATATGTGACATTAACACACATTTTATATGTATAAATATGCATATGTATAATATGTGTTAATTACTATTTATTATTGATTGTGCAAATTAATACAGTATATATATACATGTACACATTTTTGCACGTTTTTATTATACCGGATGTTTTTAAAAAATAATTAGTGAGTAAAATAGTTACTATTATTATTATTATTTAATAATCAAATTATTATTATTATATCGATTCAAACAATAGAAATTTGCAATAAAATGCGAGGTTCCAGAACTGAAAATATATCAGAACAATAAAGAACATCGTGTATAACATAAGCGATCTTTAATTATTATCTACCTTCAAAATCATTCTTTAAATTCTGATACGAGACCTGACAATAAAATTCGTGAAAGTAACCAACACAACTAACTTGCTATGAAGATAGGTAAAATGCTGAAAATCAGATATAGTATCTCACAAATACTACGTAAAAAGGCACTTCAGTTCAGTAATAAGATAACTGCTGTATCGCAAATTCGTAAATTATTGTCAGATCTCGCGTATATGTGGAAAATTAAATAAGATCACAGGCTAAAATATTAAAAAGTAATTTGTGCTTACAATCCAAAAGCAAAACAATAACTTTAATGATTATTTAATATCAGAATCTATATTATCAAAATATTTCTTCTTTTATACATTGTCATTATTCATTAAACTAAAGTAATGAGATATATATATTATATTGTGTACATCACGAATAACAACATATAACATGAATTTGTCAGTATTTTATTTAGAACATTTTTTTTTAGTTTTATCACATATCACAAAAGATATTACGGACTGTTTGTATAATCTTTCTTCTGCACATATCTGCGGAAGAAAACACTTTCGTTAAGTCGATACTCAACATTTTTATAAACTTAATAAATTTTATGATAACAAAGATAAAAAATATAAAAATCAAAATAACGATTTTTTTTAGTACTTTTTGCTTGAAAGAAAGGACTCGTGTATGTAAATAATAATAAAGAAAAAAAAAAGATTGGTTTACGCAAGTTTCTCCAAGAGAAAACACAGGAGAAGAGAATGAGAGAAAATAACTTCGACAAGAATTATCTGAGAGAATTATCAGTTGTAGATCAGAATTTTATCTCTTCCGACCGGATTTAAGAATCCTTCCTGAGTTCGTGTTAAATTCGAATCTTTCAAGTATGATCTGTTCTTTTCCCTTTAAAAGTTTAAAAGAAATATTATGAAATGATATATCGCAATGTATTTTTAAGAAGATAGTTTACATGTTTCAATTTTTTAATGCAAAATTTTTATTACTTTCTTATTAAATATTATCTTTTTACATATGCAGATTGATTTACAATAAAAAAGTTTGCACATTTTTTATATAAATGACATTGTTGAGCAATATTAGTCGAAAATTGAATTGTCAATTTTCTCACGAGTCATTTTCGCACTTTGGTACGAGCATATAACGCTTATTCAAATACTCTATCGACTTTAATTAGTAAATTATAATGAAAAAAAAAAAACACTAAAATATAGAGCTGAAAAAAATTTTAAAGAAAAAGAGTTACAAGACAATCATAGTATGTGATATGGAATGTCATAAAATCGATGTACTGTAGTAGGGGTTTTATTTTATCCCACCTCGCATTTCAGTCTGAGTTGAGTAGTCTGCCCGCTTCTTGATCGAGCAGCCAAAAGAGAGTGCCATCAACTGGTTCCACTCTGGTAGCTGGTAAATCTTCCTTATCTCTCAAGATCCTCTGTGAACAATAACAGTAGTAATTTAAATACAACCAAACATTTACATTTTTTTTTCTTTCATTCCTCACGCATATTCTTTGTGCAATTTTCTAATATTAAACAAATTTACCACATGCCTACTTCAATGTATATGTTTTAATTTATAGGAGTCAAGCAGCAAATGTAGTTCAGTCTAGTAGCTCAAGAGTAACGCAAAATAAGAAATCCTAGTTGGTGGAGAATTGGCTGATCGAAAAATGGTAAAAAAATTTTTAAATGATATATTATAGTTGATTTATCTTTCGATTCTCTTCATTATCTCAGCTTTCTGAATTTAATTAGATACCTTTAGAGAAATTGTATTTGAAAATTTCAAGTATTAAGAAAAGCGAAAAGTTGTTTAATTATTTAATTAAAAATATTAACTATTTATTTTAATTTTCTGAGTATTAGATTGCAGAATTGAAATAAATTAATTTACAGGAAAAACTTGGTAATTACTTTGACGATCTCGGCCTTGCTAGCGCCGGTGGCAATGAACACACACATGCGAGCGTTATTAATGACTGGCATAGTGAGGCTGATTCTACTGGGTGGTGGTTTCGGCGCATTCAGTTCCCATGTGACCCACATGTTCTCGTCGTCGAGGGCCCGATGACCCGGGAAGAGCGAGCACGTGTGCCCGTCCTGACCCACACCCAACAGCAGGCAATCGAATCTCGGTAATCTGTCCGGCGGGAAGAAGAAGGCCATTTTTTTAATGTAATCCTTCGCCGCGTTCTCGGCTACAAATATATATAAATAAATAAATAAATGACAAATAAACAATACAAATAATGTTAAATTATAAAAATAACATTATAAAACCATATAACGATGTAACAGATAATTAAGATATAAATAAAAAATTATAAAATAATAATTATAAGTGTACATATACATATATAAACAATAAGAAATTATAAAATATATGATAAGTTAAGAAAGATTATATGGATTATTATTATATACTCTTAAAAATAGAAACAGATTACGGATCAAGTACCATTGAGTTCTGGATCAACCTTCATGAATTGCTCCTCAGTGACGGGCACTTTTCCGATAAAACAACTTTTGTAGAGGCCAAAATTTGACTCGGAATCCTCGAGGGGCACCACTCGTTCATCGCAGAAAAAGAAGCGCCACTTGCTCCAGTCGGTTGCAATGTACGGCAGAGACTTGGCCAGCAGTTGTACCACCGAACCGCCTATGCAAATTAATAACTAATTAAAAATAATTTCCTCAAGTCCCTTTTTAGGCGAATATTTATCGAAATAGTATAAATTTCTACTAATTAAAATGATAATTTTATAAATCATTCGTCTAATCTTCTTAGACTATTCGAATATTAATGATTAATTAATTAAAATAATAATAGACATCCCATATGTATATTTTTTTCAGACCGCCAGAAATTAACCTTGTTTCGTATCATAACATATTTCCACACCATAACCAACCAAAGATGCGTTGATGCGTAGAAGCGCGACATATAAACAGATAACCGAATCATGAGTCAATCGATCATACGATCCACATTTTTTTTGTTCAACTACACTTTTTTAGACTTTCTTCAAAATTTCTACAATATATAAATTCGTTACACGCGAAATTATAAGTCTCGAAAAAATAATACTCTCCAAGAAACGGTTTCTATCCCCAAAAAATTTCTCCGATAACTTTTAAACAATTTTTATAATAATTCTCTTAATTCCTACTTATATTAAATTTTACAATTATGCAAATATAAATGTAAAATATATTTCTACATTTTTACGTAGTTAAAAATTTGTTGAAGTTAATAAATATTGTGATACACTTCACCGGTTATCGATCGTTAATGACTCATATTATTAAATAGAATTATTAAATAAAGAACTTTTATTATTCATGTATACGGATGAAATTTTAGCTGAAAAATAACCAATAATTTTTTGATTAAATGCTGACGAAATATCGAGTGCAGAAAGTGTAGATGAAAAAAAGGGAAGAGAAGGGCAGATAAAAAAAATCATGATACAAACTCGCCGCGAAGTGCAATGTTCCCGAAGGCAGGCGAAAATCTATGGAAATTTATGGAAAAATGTTCTTTCTCATTTATTCACAAATTCAGCGAGTTCGCGGCTTGTTTTCGCGCGCAACAACACGCGGAATACCGAAACTGAAAAAAAAAACCGAAGAGTCATTCTCGCGTGATTACAACGTGGAAGTTCGACTTGCCTTATCATAACTGTGGAACGTGTGAAACGTGAAAATTACAGAGCGAGTAAAACTTGAGCGGAGCGGCAAGGGCAGCGCGGCTGGCGCGCGAACATAAATAAAAACGGAATTGTATTAAAAATTCGTGGGGATCACCTGATACTCCGAAACGAAAGATCCGATCGTCGCGCGAGATCGCGTCGTCCGCGGCGCGGGCGATGAGATTGGAGATCCGGGAGAGTAACTGCTCCTCGTCGATCGACACCACTACCTCCGTCATTGCGTGCGTTTCTTCGCGTGCGGATGCGGACGAGCGAAAGCGAGGTTATCCCGTCGGACCATGCACTTTCGAACGCGACAACCACGTCCAACCACGTCCAGTCAATTAACACAGCCGTCAGCCACTGAGCATTCGAAGTCGTGATCGTGGACTCGGAATTCGGAATAATCCGGATGATGAAACGAGCGACCCACGGCGCGATTGGATCGCGCGTAGAATGCCGATGTAGTAAATTACTAGGTATTAGTAAGAAATTACTAGGAAATTACAAGGATTTTTTAGACAGAATATTCAACGGAGAGAAAATCAAGTCGATATGGAATCTGCTGACAAATGGTGATTTATTGTTTAACAGAAATTATCTTAAATTTTCTATGTGTTCTTGATATTATAATTTTACAATCGTTCTCTCTGTCTTCCTGTTAAGGAACGTCCGCACGAAGGAGAATGTTAGCGAGATTTTGGAATTAGCTGCAATTAAAGAGTCCGATTTAAACGCCGTGACGCAATGTTTGTATCCCATGCAAGATCATCAGATCGACGATTTGATATTGCTGGAGGTAGACGAGCACATATTGGGAGCACTAAGCGAAGGAGACGCGTACGTTCTTTAACAATCTCCCTTTCAATTATCGTTTCGTAAAGTAGATCCTTGAGAGTTCTCTTGAACGTTTTAACATTGCAATTGTTATTCTGCAGAATAAAGTGATTGTAAATAATTTTGTGACGCTAGAATATCATTTCGTGGTAACAAACACGACAATGCTGCGCTGTGCACGCAAACTCGGACCTACGAGATCAGAGAGGCAGAGATATCCAACTCGTGGCTGTTGGTTCCAAACTTGAAGCTAGGCAAAGCAACAGGTGTCGGGAAAGTAACTGAGAGAACTGTAGAGAAATGTAACGTAAAGAAGATATTTAACTCGTACTATGAGGTACTTGTAGTAATTGTCTTATATCGGAATTATATCTAAAATATTGAATTGCAGAAAATATATGATTATAATCTCTTGTGTTCAAGGTGAAGGAAACCAAACCTGATCTGTCAAGTTTGTCCACTCTGCTTGATTCGTCATCCTTCAATGGATTGGAATATGAATCTACAATAGATCAGAATGCGTTGTACAGTTGGGAAAGATTACAAAATGAGTTACAAGCCAGTGATTACGAGTTAAAACAAGCTTTGTCAGATTTCTTAATAGCCGACCTAGATGGTATGTAATAAAAATCTTTTTTTATTGTATTATATCAGATCTTATTTTATTCGTACAAATGATGTCGTTTAACTTGAAATTTTTTGTATTAAGGTTATTTGCGCCTTATATCATTTGACATAGAAGCAAGGAGCTTGAATTTCATGTTGGATTATTTTGGAGAACAGTCTTGGGAACTCGATGAAGTAGATAAAGAGAGTACGTACGAATGTTTAAAGGAGCTTATTCATGAGCCAGTGTTCGATATCATATTCAAAAGATATACAGAACTAAGCACAAAGACAAAGGATGATGGCAGTCCATTGTACATGTATGTACACTATTACTATATTTTCTATATATTATTTAAAATATATATATTTCTAATATATATATATTAGAAAAATTTTGTGACAAATAATTTGCATTTTTTAAATATAATTGATTCTTGAAAAGGTATAACGAAAAAAAATGCTGCGCAATGATAGCAAAGGTTCTTCTTGCTGCCTCTCCTGTCACTGAATACAAAGAATTCATGGAAACATGGAGCATTGGAATTCCTGAAAGTACGGAATTAATAAGCTTGAAATTGTAATTGTAATTTATATGATAAAGTCTTTTTTGGAACTTAAAATTTCTGTGTTTCAGAAATGCAGGTAAAGAAAGAGTATTTATATGGATTGGCCCTTGTAACGTACAATACTTCAAAAATGCAAAAAGAAATCGTGTCTTGTCCGGAGGCAGACTTACCGAACAACATTCACGACAGACTTAATGAACTTTTTCAAATTAAAGCTAAATGGACTGTTGAAGAGATAACACCTTATATTATGTAAGTGAAAAAGAATACATATTGTTATTTTAAATCTTATATAATCGTTTCTTTTAGGCGTTTTACAAAAGGTGCAATGAATGTTAATGCACTTTTAACGAAATATGCTAGATGTTCGACAAAAAATGGGATAAAATATTACGGGTCAAAACATGGCAAGTGATATACTGACTACAATTGTGGTATGCATTCAATTGTCTTACAATAAATACTGATACATGTGTTATTGATTAATTATATTAATGTCGGAACAATATTTCAAAATTGTTTATAATGTTAAAATGATACGCGTAATTTATTTAGCTCGTGATCATATATATATAGTTACACATTTGCACAATTTATAAATATTTTTAAGAAATAAGATTATATAATTTATTTTTTTCATTTATTACGTCACTGATGTAATAGCGATATTATCAGCGAATGTATTATTATTCATCTCACTCATTCATCAAAAGACAATAATTTTAGATTAGACGATAATTTATCAATTTTATTTTATAAACTCTTGTTATCCCATTGACTATAAAGTTTTATTACAAAAGCATTTTACCAACTTTCTCTTTAATATCTGACGTTATTAGTAATTACAGTTGAATATAATATGCTTCAGAAAAGTATATTGGATTGAATATGAATAATCATTCTTAAATTCGATATTTACCTCATCAGTATTTGTTACGTGTCAAATAATAAAACTTATATAAATACGTGTTGTGCGAAGAAAAGAAGGAATATAAATTTACTTATAAATGATGCTGGAAAATCTCGTAAAAATATACAAATCATATATATACATAAATAATTTTATACAATTAAAAAATATCGAAGAAATTTATTAAAAATGGTTTTACTACTTTTTGTAAAATAATGCAATAAAAAAGGAGAAAAATAAAGAAAAGATTCTCACAACAGTAAATAATTTTTAATTTAATATTTGCAAATGATAAAAAAGATTCTTATAATAAAATATATGTATAGCATTGCATTATAATACATAATGGCCAAATTGATGTTGATTTACTTAATACACATTGTCTTTTTTTTCATGTATAGTGTTACATATGTTTTTAATATATTTAAATAAAAGAAGTATTTGATGTATTCGCAAATAAAACAGCACCATCAATAATTATAAATATTCATTATTTCCTGATTCCTGGGATAGCAACTTCTTTGACAGGAAATTTACAACACACAAACATAGTATTCGTTTCTTTTGAGCGTATAAGCACATCTTGGCACATGAATCTTTAAAGCCACATACCATTTAAAATATCAAATTTACAACTCGCAAACTACAAATATTTCACGTTCATGCCAATTGTAACAATATACGGATAAGATGCATCAGTACAACAATTATAATGTGTCAGAATACTAAGAACATTTCTCACAGATATTCCCCAGACGAATTTCCCCAGGAATACAAAAAGCACATGCGTAAAAATGGAATACTTTTTTTTTTATCTATAAAGTATTCGATCGCGGATTTTGTAAATGCATCGTACGTATGAATACATCGCTGCGTATTGCATTGATGAACTATTAATGGTATACTTATGCAAAAATGGAACTTCCTAAAAATATCTTGTAGGAACTGCCTCGTCGCTGAAAAATGGTTCTTGCTTTTTATAAAACATTTCGTATATAAACGTCGCAAACTAATATAAACCATTAAATAATTATTATAGAAATAACACACATTCAGTCCCTCTTTTTACATTATAATTACTGCCCATAATATTCCTAGGTAGGAAATAGACTATGAAATTACGAACTTGCGTTAAAAACAACATCGATTATATCCTACAGGAAATTATATTCTCGCGCAGTATTGTTCGAAGAGAGAAAATATTATCCGTTTAAATATACGTACATACCTCTCTGAGATACGTTTGTTTGTATGTATGTATACATTATAAATTGATTATACGAGATGACGCAGATAAAATAAAGAAATTTTTCAAGCGCGAATGTGCGATGCTAGAATAAATATGATGAAACGGTGTGAATAAATTTGAGACCTTTACCTCATTTAATAATGTTCATGTTAATGTTAAATTTAATAAATGACGTTCCTATCTTTATGGTAAAACATAACTTTGCATCACCTCGTACATGCCGTCATTGTATAATATAACAAATAGTAACGATAATCCTAAATCCTTTGGAGTTGTGATTTCATTATAGCTGTGACTTAAATTCTCTAGTGATAAACTTCCTATTCTACTATTACAACTAATGAATACTGTCCTATCTATAAGTACGCTTAGATAAAACGTCTGCATATGTAAATGTTAAAAAGAGCTAAAAAGCACAAATACTAGATCTCCCGTTGTTAAAGTATTGAAGTGTAGATGTGTACACACGGGTAACTTGGTAGTATATCGTCTATTTATATACATGCTAAGCAATGATCCGAAGTAGACCTGGAATCAATCCATTTGATAATCGTTTAAATAATCATCTCATTTATGCGAGAAACACACATTTCATGATTTACCTTAGTTCAAGGCACCTCATTGTTAGCTGTCATTTATCGAAGTCTCACTTGTAGTTTTACTGTTAGCCGTAAATACCGTCTGAGTAACGCCTGTTGTAACCGACTGACTCGGATGTATGACGGGACTCACAGTCTGAACCAAATTACAAGTGACTGGCACCATAGGCAGCAAATTAACAGAATTATTCATAGGCCCTGCGTTACACGTCAATGAAGGTCTTTTTCTCTCTAAACTGTTAGTGGCCATTTGTCTCCTCGCTGTTGAGTTACGTTCAAGGCTATTAGTTACTATATTATGTCTTCTTTCTAAACTGCTGCCGGAATTAAGGTCGGACTGACTTCCCTGAACAGTAGATATTTCAATCGCATTTATTCTATCATTGTTATTTCGAGAAGTTATAATAATCTCAATGAGATATTTAACTTACCGGTGAGGATCGATCTACAGACTGACCCATTCTATGTAACAAATCACCACTTTGGCTTTGTCTGAAGGTCGTTCCTTGTCGTTCGGTCGACTGACTTCTCCTCAACAACTGCTCGCCTGATTGACTTGAACGAATGCGATTCTCGGGTGTAGATTCGCGCGTTCTGTTCACAGCATCGCTCTGCCTTTGGCAAATCTGAGTGTCCACATATGGATAACGAATACGGATGGAATCGATTACATCTAAGAGATTCTTCGCGTCCATGGCTAAGATATGAGCTGCAGAAAGCATTCCCCTAAAAAGAGACTCGTAATGTTAATCAATTATTTTCAATGTCTCCCGTATTAATCTACTAATAATCATAAAATAATAATTACTTTCGATATTCCGCGTCCAACGTAGTGGCACTGTAATTTTGCGCCAATTTCATTGCTGTCACTAGCTCTGCCATATCTTTACTTAATACTTTATGCGCCATTTCTACTTCGCGATGCGCGGATATTGGCAATATTTCTACCAGAACATCCACAGATGATAATAATGCTCTTAATTCGACACCTACTCTACGTACTAGTTCTAAATACTGATCAGCCTTGCTCTGTTGAACACCTGCAATTCATTTTTCTTTCTTGCATGACAACGTACTACAGTATATGATTTTTCGACAATTTCAATTAGCTGTTATGTATTTTGTTTCGATTAGTACATTCTTACCTTGCGATAATGACATAACTGCACGAACGACGCTTGTCGTGCAGTCGTATACTTTATCGTTAGTTCTGTCTAAATCTGCAGTAGGTGTAGGTTCCATTTTCTGCAAAAAAAAATTTATGAATATTTACGTTGCAACGGGTGATTTGCATTGATAAAATCATTGTGCTGTGGCTCACCTTTACTACAATTACTTTATCGGAACTCTTATCCGAGCCAAGAGAGCCAGTATTGGCAGAATGCGGTTCGTGGCTCGGTGATTGAGTAACTGATCGTGGAACCGGAGGACTAGCACTTTCATCACCACTCGTAGCAATCGATAAGCGTTTCTGTCATAATGAAAAAAATGAAGATTTAGATCATTTCAATTAACGGTGAAGTCTTTTAACATACTATATACCTCTTCTCTTGCGAGCCAGCGGCTATCCTCTTCAGACTGTCGTTGTTGTTCCAATAACCGTTGCTCCAGTAGCTTTTGTTCATCATCAATGCCACTATTGAAATTGTCAGTCAGACTGTCGAACAGTTGCGAATGTACGTTTCTCTAGAACAATAAAAATGATATTACGTTAGAAATGTGACCTGTTTTCACCCAACATTTATAGGTTCTTTTCTAATGTTATAAAATATGGGATGATTTCGTAACGATTTATGTTACAATCGTTTCTCGATAATATACACGTATATACAGGAAAAATTAAAGAGACGCATATTTCTCGAGATATAAAATAAATATAAAATGGAGGTAGTGCATTCGCGTACTCGCTACATGCAGTTTAAATAATTACTGGTAGCAATTCATCAGTGACATCCATTCTTCATGCAAAAATTATTAGCCTACTGAACGGCAAATTAAGAGATTTCCGCTAAAAAAATAAGTCTCTCCGATCGCATCGCAACAAAGTAGAAGATCCGTTTGTGAGCCAGTGCGTACGTATCTTGCATACACCAGAGAAGCGCGTGATATAAATATACATCCGACTTGTAACCGAGGTGTAGAGTGATGCGAAAGTGTTGCGGACCAGATAAAAAACCAAAACAAGACGTGGCGTGGCATATATATAGAAGATGCATTTGTCACATTCCTAGGAGGCATGGTCAAACCTGATCTTGTTGTGCCTCCTCTGTCATCGAGCTGCTAGACGACACGGTGCTGTCGCTGACAGCGGAAGAGATCAGAGAGCCAGAGAGAGTGCCGTCGGTCGAGCTCGTCAACTGCTCGTCCTGCTTTTGTGGTGTCACGAAGGTGGTGATCTTGGCGACGCCCGTCGCAATTTGCGATATATTTGCCGCTTTCGCGACTCCGCTAGCCATCTGAGGTTGAGCTACGTGTTGCTGATGCGCACCGGTCATGCCCGTCATTACATTGCTAACGTGTACTGGAGTATAATCAATCGAACCAAGGGAACTCGGTTGCTGTTGGTCTACTATGTAGGCGGATGGTATCGAATGGATATTCTGCTGAGGCGCTGAAGACGACATAACAAAATGTGACGGAACAGAGGAAGCTTGCATCATCCCAATGCTCGCCGATTGATTCGCACCGGTTGCTTGACAAGTCCCTGGCTGGCCGCTAATCCCGGGCTGAGCTTGGTGAACATAATTTGGCATGTGCACCTTCTGAGCTTGGACCACCGACACGGATGTAGCGTGGGCCGTGTAAATGGGATTGGCGCCGGTCAACTGAGACTGTTGGTTCGAGTGCTGTATTGCCGCATAGGACACGGCCTGAGGAACGGCACTCTGCCGCGTGATATTCTGCACGTGTTGCATTTGCAGCAGATACATAGGCTGCTGTCCTGGCTGAGCGATATTCGAATAGATCTGCTGGTGCGGATAGTTCTGCGGATATATTGGCTGCGATTGTAGATTTTGAGCTACGAGATTGCTTCTTCCAGCTTGACCGTAATTTCCAGCTGTTGTGCCAACGGGTTTTAACTCAGTCGCGACTGCGGTCGCAGTCGCGACTACGGCTAACTGCGGTTGGGCGTTTTGGGCGCGGAACTTGAGTACCGGACCGTACAAACATTCCGCATTCGATACGGTACTACCTACATTCGCCGAACTAATATTACGAGAGTAAACAACGCCACTACTACCACCACCTCCGCCG